CTAGCTAGACGCCACCTGCCATATCAAATTTGTCTTCAACACCTTGTACTTATAATGTCAACTAGGTCTTTAATTAATGTATTTATAAACCACGGAGACAAATTCGGTAACATATACTTTATGTGATCCTGAAAGAGCCACAATAATTTTAGTCGTCTTGTACGCTATCATATAAATATTCAGGCATGTTTAATTCCATTTAACGAACTTTATGTATCGTTTTTCCCTTTACACGTTTCTAGCCATTTTCTGCTCTAAATAACGTTCCTGTGGAGTATGGGTATTATAATAACTCGTGAGTGACAGTAAAAAAAAATATTTCAACCAGGCTGCGTCTGCTATGTCCAGTGCCGTCAAGACCATTTGTGTAATACCAGGACTCTTCAGGTGGGCTGGTATACAGCAGATCTAGTATTGGGTTAGTCGCTATTCATACTATCAGATTGTTTGAACAATTAGACGTTAAAATTGGGGTAAGAGTTATCAATATAATATTGTTTATTTAAATAGATAAAGCTCTCCTATAATAAAATTAGCTTTTGTATAAATATTCCGTAACAAGTGCATTATTTGTCATTGTTGTTTCCATTTCAGTAAATTTGCCCTATACAAAGGATCGTCCCCATCGAAATAGTCACTTAGGGAACGTGTCCAGGATTTTACAAGATCTGCCAAGAACGCTCTCCAAAAGGCTTTCATCACGGAGCGTGTCTACGGGCCTGATAAGCAGGAAAGAAACTCCAAATTGAACACAGTTCACGACGATCCCACACTTTTATGAAAAATCTGTGGATTCGCATGAGCATGAGACGAAGTGAAAGAAAAACTCACAACCAGAGCGACACCGTGTGTCACGACTCGTAAGTACTAGGTTTTTATTATTTAAGTGGGATACCGACTTTTGAAGATGTGAAAATAATTCCAGAGAAAGGTTCGAACATGTGTTTGTAATAGGTGGTTCTAATCACTAATCATAATATCAGAAATCAAAATGATTCAGTGGCTTTCGAGCTTTTGTAGTTTACATGATCAGAGTAAACCTACTTTTCCAACTGTATGTAAGACAGTAGGATGTAGTTTTTGGGTGGTCAGGCCATTGCAGCTTTGCCATTTCTATAGGGGTCTGGGGCATGCCCCACAGAAAATGTTTGAAAATTTAATGCTATGAGATTGAATCTTGAGCCATTTTAATTACAAATACTGCATACACACAAAGTAATGTATTCAATTAAAAGAAGCAAGTTTTAATTACATAAGTTGCAGCTATACATGCCATGAAAAAGTGGTCAGGCCATGCATGGCCTGACTGGCCTTACCGCTTCTTACGGCCCTGTAAGGATCACACATTTCTGACTACATCTATATATATATTTCAAAATATAGTTTAGACGAAGCTTAAACACTAAAATTTTTGTCTGGAAGTTGTACTGATTACTTAACTGTATTTTAATTGTTGAAATGACGATAGTTTGTTAGCGGTCAAGTTAGTACGTAAAAAGCGTCTTTATAAAATAATCATTATCTTATCCCCAAAGTGGCTCCACTATTATTATCATGGTCGTTTTCAGGGAAACGATTATCTAAGAGAACACTCCTAATGAGACTAATTTTCTAGAGCCATATTAACTTGAAATTTCAGTGTATATTTAGCACATGTGTTTTATTCAGGCTCTCATACATTCAAACATAAATATTCTTTCTCTGATTAAAGATTGAGAGTTCCTAAGTTTACAAACCCTCCGTGCCCGGCATGGCCAGGTGGATAAGGCGCTCGACTCACAATCTGAGGGTCGCGGGTTCGAATCCGCA